TCCCAATTTTTTTTAATTTTAATTATTTTTCTATATTTTTAAATACTATTTAAGGAAATTTTTTGATAATGTCAGCAAAGAATAGCTATTTCATTTCTTTGATTCAGTAAATTTTTATTTTTTATAAACTTAGTAATATATAGTTTTTCATGTATGCACAAAGGACATGGGTCATTTAATGACCTACATATTCTAGCTTTTCTTATTAATTTCAATTTTATTGTAGGTGTTTTATTGGTTTCTTTTAATATTTCGATAGGGACATCTGATTTCAGTATTTATTTAACCTAAATGAACTTTGATGTTGTTTGAATCTTTTTTTGAACTCATGGCTTATGCAACCTATATAGATTTTTATGTTTTCATGATTCTCAATAGATGAGATATTGCATTGGTATAGTAATGATTCCGTGCGACATTTATTTTGTAGAGGAGAGTTTTCTTTCGATTTCTTGATATATTTATTATGGATGTTCGCTTGGGAGAGTAATGATTCAACAACAATGCAAACAATATTTCTACATGTGAAAAAGTAAATGACGTAATCTTTCAGTTGACCCAATGCATAAATAATAGTGATCTTCTAGTAAATAATGACATTTTTTTTTTCTTGTTTATCGATACTATGCTTCAAAAAATTCATATTGATTTTTGCCTTGGAAAAGTCCACACTGGACAAAACAGTTTTCCTATTGCTGTTTATATATATATATATATATGCGCATGGCTGAGTGGTTAGAACATTTGCTTTCTGACCATGAGACCAGGGTTCGAATCTCACCATGGTTGATTTGTCAAGAAGATGACTTTCTGACGCTATCAGACTGGAGTGGGTGGGGGATGATCCCAGCATGTAGCACCTTTGGAAAGTGCCTGATTTTAGAATACAGGAAGAACTCAAAAGATTAATTAAATCTTCCTTGTCGATTGTTTTCAATGAAAGATGCTTGAAAGAAATGTTGCTTCCTATATATATATATGTGTGTGTGTGTGTGTGTGTGTGTGTGTGAAAATGTGTGTGTGTATATATATATATATATATATATATATATATATATATATATATATATATATATAATTATTTATATATTACATGCGTGGTACTTATTAAAAAGTGCTCAATATCAGAGATAGAGCTAACATATTTGGTTGGATAGATGTGAGTTTGTAACCTCCACATCACAAATTCACATCAATCCAACCAAATATATATATATATATATATATATATATATATATATATATATATATATAGATAGATAGATAGATATTAGTGGTTAATATACACATACATATATTTTGAATTTGTAGGTCTGATGAATTGGATTGTATTTACGATTCCAATATAATAAATTATGACCATGGAGTACTAGTGTTTAAGCCTTTTTATTATATATATATATATATATATATATGAAATTAGGGATTTTTTATCTGTTTGAAAATGGTTCACTATAAAATAGGTGATATTTTATTTATTTATATTGTAAGGAGTCATGTACCAGAATCATAATTCATATCAAACATTCACTGGCATCTGTTTCCCTTTTTTCCATGGGGCACAAGATGATATATTCAGATAACTGGCAATTCGGTGACATAAAAAGCATTCCACTCGTAGAGACGATGCTGCACTTGTTGACATTTGTAGTGTCAACCAGTACAAATACAGGCTGATCCAGATGTCAGATAGTGCACTCTTGATCCAATGGCTACTCAAGGTGGGTTTTATTAAATTACCAGAAATATACAGGGTTGCGATGGATAAACTGACATCTAAATTACACAAAAATGAAAATAACACTGACATCTCATTTTAACAGATCTATTAACCAAAATTACACAAAAATATCTTGAAATATTAAAGAGTAAATTTACTCAATAAAATCGCCGTTGGCTTCAACCATGCCAACTTTGGAATCTCCTGCAACGGTCTCTTGGATGGTCTCTGTTTAAGTTGGTGAATGCAGCCATAATTCTTGCCTTCAGTTCATCTTTGGTGTTACAAGGAGTTTTGTTGGTCTCTCGCTCAACTGCACATAATAATCAAGGGGGTTGCAGCATGGGGAGTTAGGTGGTTAGGTGTAAGAAATGATGTGGTTGCAGAAATTGTCTGACAGCCATGATGGGTTCTTCTGCTTGTGTGGCATGATGGAGAGTCATGTTGCCAGATATGAGGTCGTTCAGCAGCCACCCTCTTCACCCAGGGTAAAACTATCTCCTCAAGGCACTTGATGTAAGCCTCCATGTTGAGTCTGAGGACCTGACCAACAAATTCAGCATTAGACTCATCCAACTTTTTCCAAATCCTCTGCACTGTCCACAGACTGACATCCAAACACTCTGAAATGTTTGTATTGGAGCTTCCAGCATGAATACCAAGCAGTACAGCATACCATTTCCCGATTTCTAGCAGATTTAATTGCGCCATAGTGCTCTTTTTCTCACGGAGAGTTCCCAACTGATCCTACTATACCATGCTGTTGGTAAAATCAAAACC